AGGGAGAGAGAACTCCTGAAAACCCAACCCCAAGGACGCACTGATGTTGGATTTCTATAAACCTTCATAGCGATTTGGCACCGTGTATCAGAAACACTAAATGTGCTCACCCTGCAACCCAGCATATTTATACCTGGGAATTGAAACCAAGACAATAATTCTCAAACTTTTTAATCTCAGAGCCCTTTTATATCTTTCACAATTATTGAGGATCTCCAAGGAATTTTTCCTTGTATGATTTATATCTGTGCACACTTACCGTATTACAAATTGAAGATGAGAAACTTTTAAACTTAAAACTTAAAAAAGTAACAAATCTATTATATATTAGCAAAACAGTGTGCATGAACAACATTTATATTTTCAAAGAAAAAAGTAGTAATAAAGGTGGCATTGTGTTACATTTTTGCAAATCCCTTTAACGTTCTTCTCAGGGAGGAATGAGAGACTCTCGTCGTGGCTTCTTAATTCAAACACGATATATTACACCATGCAGAGAAAATGAGAAGAAAAAAGGCAGACAAAATCTTAATAGTCTTAGAAAAATAGTTTGGTATTGTGCACCCTATGAAACGATTTTCATTCCTCCCAGTAATCCTTCAACTATACTTTGGGAACAAATGGCCCGAGAGATATAGAATAATAGACTTGAAATTATAAATGGAGACTATCTAAGTAAACAAATGGGAGGTTACTGGTTAAAGAAACAACTGGAAACCTTGTTATTTTCCTAGTTAGTGCAGCTCCCTTGGGTCACAGGGCAGAACGGCCCCTCCCCCACTGCTTGCTGTCACTCCGATTCCATGGCGACTATCTCCAAGGACACTGAGCGTTGCTTGGCAACCAGACCAGCTCCTCCATTCTCTCCCACTCCAATGAATGCCTACTGCATTCCCGCTGTTCTATCCCGACAGTAGCTGTCTGCAGAGGTTTGCCAGATGCACTGAAGTGCAGGGAAGCACAGTACTGTTGGACATCTGACACCACATGAACTCTCACCTCCAGCGGGTCACAGATTCAACATGAGGTCTCTCTAGGTGTCCTTCGCTGACGTCACACCTTTGTGATGCTGGGTTGGCAGTGGTTGCAAGCAGCGCCTGAAAATCCAGGAGGATGAGGAAATGAGGGTGGCGTGAGCCAGTCTGATTCCAAGGTGAGAGCAGTTGTGCAGTGCACAGCAGACACACACCTCCCGTTATTCAGTGAGTGTTATCATTGAAGGAGGAGGAGAGCGCCGTGGCACCATCACAGCTCACTGCAGCCTCGAACTCCTGGGCTCAAGAGATCCTCCTGCCTCAGACTTCTCAGTAGTCAGGACTGCAGGCACACACCACCACACCCAGCTAATTTTTCTACTTTTGGTGGAGACAGGGTCGCAGTCTAGCTCAGGCTGGTCTCGAACTCCTGAGCTCAAACGATCCACCCGCCTCGGCCTCCCAGAGTGCTAGGATTATGTTAGGTTTGTTCCAGGTGGGAACCCGAAAAGTATGTATAGGATGGAATATGGTTACTGGGAAGCTTGGGCTTGTAAAACTATAGCCACCGGAGTCTGGAGGGCTGGGGGCTGTAAATCTAACAGACGGCTGCGGCATTCCTGTCCCCCTGACAAGGATGAAGCTACCCCCCTCCCTTATCTCTACAGGGTGAGGCCGATGCAGGGGTCCCACAGATTGGTTGCTTAAAACAATGTTATTACAGCGGCTGTTCTGGCCCAAATACTCACTCCCCGCCAGAGAAGCCCTCTATAAAACCCAGGGCTTTCTCCTCCCTCGGGGTGGACACCCTTTTCAGCCTCCACCCATCTGCACCCAGATCCTCAAAATAAACGGCACTTTGCTACGTATGAGCCTTTGTCTCTCTCTCTCTCTCTCTCTCTCTCTCGGCTCTGGACCTAACAGATTACAGGCATGAGCACCCAGCCTATTTTATCTTTTGAAAAGAAAAAAGTAACAACCACACACCTGTTCACACGGCCATCCATAAAAAAGAATGTAATGAGTATTGGAAGGATTTAGAGCAGCCGGACCACTTCCTCCCTGTTGTTGGCAACGTGACGTAATGCATGCCTTTGAAAAACAGTACGATAGTTCCTGAAAATATTACAAAAGGACTTACCATACGAAGCAGTGAAGGAGCTGAGGAAATTTCACCCCAAAATATGACTCCTTGGTGTAAAGAATATTTTGACTTGAAGGTCCTCAGAAATCGATAGGCCTTGGAAGGGGCTTTGCCTCTATCTGCATAGCCAGACGAACTCATCAAACAGTACAACTGACTTATTTGTCATCTCAGTATCTTGAAGGAAAGAAGATCAAGAATGCAACGGACCTGGCCCAATCCGTTTTAAACATAACCCCTATCTCTCAGGTTAATTTAATTTCCAAAGAGAATCATTTACAAGTCAATCTATTTCCCACCATCCATTCATTCTCTGAAGCATCCATTTATTGCCCCTAAACAGAATTACCTACAATCCTCATCCTCCTCCCTCTACAATGAGGGTGTGTAAACCTGTAGACCTCACTGGGAAACTGGGTAATCACTCTCTGATTCTCCCTGTGTGCACAGCAAATAAATTTGTAACCTCTTTCTCTTATTAACCTGCCTTATTGTGATTTGATCTTTCAGCAAAACTTCATGGGGCAAAAGGGAAGTTTTCCTTTCTGCCACACACAGCTACACTTAATTTAGCAGCCCAAACTCTCAGAATTCATGACCCGGTGGAGGAAGCAGATAAACAGTCAATTTTATCACCATGAGAAATGGGGAACAAGAGAAGTAGAGCACCTATTGTGACAATGTTGAGAAGAGAATTGCTTCAACAATTGTGTGTACAGCAGTTAGCAAACATTTTGCAAAGAAGGTGACTATTCTACCTCCCATTTGCTCATATTGTCACATTAAAATCGTATTTCGTATTTATGACAGAAATGTAAAAACGCCCAGCTACCATTAGTGATAGCTTACAGTGCATTGAGCATTGCATCAAACTCTTACCCAAGTCCAGCCCCCATTTACGAGGGATGAAAAAGAGGCTCTGTAGGGGCAGGCGTCTTGTCCCCGGTCACCCGCGTAATGGCGGTCGGGACTCGGGTGTGTATAATGGAGAATCCACATCCAGCCTTGTCTTTCAAGAATTCTGTACTTATCCTATATTAGGTGAGATCTCTGGAAGTTTAAGTAACTAGAACCCAAGTATACATTTCATAAAAATCCCTTTCCTGGGTTTCCCAGAGGAGGCAGCCTGGGAAATCATCAAGAGTCGGACAGTCACGGATTATATTCCCACGAGAATTTAGGGCCAGGAAAAATACTGGATAGTATCGTCGCAACTTGGCGCAGTTTATCTGAAAAAACAAACGTGGGTGTCCTGCAGCCCACAAAACCACACCTACCAATATCTAAGGCAGTCACTCCCAAACTTTTTATTTTCGCTATACCTTTGCACTTTTCAACATCATGGAGGACCCTATGGCATTTTTCTTTGTATGACTTATGTCTATGAATATTTACCATATTTTAAATGGAAATTGAGAAATTTTTAAATTTAGAACTTAAAAAAGGTAATATACCTATTATACGTTAACATAACACACTTTTTAGGAGCAATAAGTGTATTTTCCAAACAAAAATTTAGGAATAGAGGTGGTATTATTTTACATTTTTACAAATCCCTGTAGTGTCCTCCTTACCACAATATAGATGGGTTCTCATATCAGCTACTTAATTCAAATACTTGAATTACTATATCATACAGAGAAAATGAGACAGAAAAAGGCAAATAAAATCTTAATGATCTTCAAAAACTACTTTGGAATTGTGGACCTCAAGAAAAGATCTTGATTTCCCCCAGGAGTTCTGGAACTACATTTTGTGAACTGTTGGCCTAAGAGATACATAAATAATATATGTGAAATTATCTGGATATGCAAATGAGGGATTATTAATTAAAGAAAGTGTGGGACACCCACGTTGCTTTCCTTCCTCTCTGCAGCGGCATTTGCCTGGGCTGAGCAGCCCCTCCCCCCCTGCCTGTTCTCATTCTGATTCCATGACTACTCATCTCCTAGGACACTGAGCGTTGCTTGGCAACCAGACCAGCTCCTCCATTCTCTCCCCTCCAGTGAACGCTGACTGCATTCCTGCTGTTGTATTCTCATGTTCGAAACTGTGTGCCCAGGTACTGCGGATGCTTTCCTGTCTAGGGACCACAGCAACATTTGATATCTGATGCCACATAAACTGCAAGCTCCAGGGGTTCATGGCTTGAACATTAGATGTCTCTACATGTCCTTTGCTGACATCATGTCTTTGTGATGCTGGTTGTCAGTGGTCACTGTGAAGAAAAGCAATTATCACCTGAAAATCAAGGAGGATGAGGAGATGAGGATGGCGTTGTCCAGTCTGATTCCAAGTGTGAGAAGTGGCGCAGTGCCCAACAGGCACACACATCCCATTATTAAGCAACTGTCACTATGGAAGAATGAAGGAAATATTAAGACACCAAGGCTCATTTTTTGCTTTTCATGAACATATAATTTAAATTCTTTCTGCAAGTCAGGCAACCCCAAAGCGGGGACAGACATAACGTTCTGCTTTAGCTTTTTTTCTAGAGGCATTTTGACAGTCTGTGGCCCAGACCAGTGGCTGCACATCTGTCCCTTTAAGGGCCTTGTACAAGGGCTTTGCCATTAGTCCAAAGTCTGGGTCCAGATGCGACAGAACCTGCCATTCCTAGGAATTTGCACAGTGGTCGCAAGTTTCCTTGCTAATTTGGAATCCCAGATAAGTAACCGGCTCTTTGCAAATCTGTCCAATTGCAGGTGCCATGAGTCCCCCACCAAGCTCTCATCAAACAGGGCAGGAGAGCCTTTTTAAGCCCCTGAGGCAACACAGTCCAGCAGCACCACGAAGCCACCCTAGTCCCAGGATCTTGCCATCCAAATGCACAATACGATTAATGGCACATAGATTCTGCATGAATCTATCTTTCTGCACACCCCGGGGTACCGTCCGTCTATGTGGCCTTCCAGCATGGCCACCGAGAACGTCAGGGTTGCCAGAGTCAGTGGTGGCGGTGGTGAGAGCAGCGTTAGGTCCAGCAGTGGCACCCCAGGGCCTCCTGGGCCCACGGTGATGAGCATGGCTGCTCAGCTGCCGCCTGGCCCATCCCTGGCCTGGCTTGTGGAGCACTGTGCGTGGCTGGTGCTGGGCACCAGGGCAGCAGCCAAGGGGGGCCCTTCTGCCCACGCGGCTTGGAGTCCCCACTTGGAGTGAGGATATTTGGATTGGAGCCCTGGTCTCCCTCCTTCATCGTCTGAGTCCTGGACTTAAAGAACTGTTTGCTCTCCTGGGGTTTCTTGTCACGTGGACCCCTTTGCAATCTTGGGCAGTGCTCTTTCCAACGCCCTTCCCTCTTACAGAAAGTACACTGGTCGTACTTCATCCTGCGGCACTTTTTTTTGCTGTTTCCTCTTGACTGTCTCAAAGGACCCTTGCCTGACACAGCTAGGGTTAGGGTTAGTGTCTCAGTTTCTATTCTTCCCTAGCGTTATGTACTTCACAGGCGATATCAGCAAACTGTGAAGGATTCGTGCCGATTGCCCCTTCCACACGCGCGGCTTCCTCCGTATATCTGCAGCACTCTGCCCTGCAAGAGTCACATTAATCATGCACATATTTTCATGGGCCCCTGGATCCGCATCTGTATATTTCCGATATGCCTGATAGATGTGTTCCCAAAACTCAGAGGAATCTTCATTAGCTTTCTGTTGACATTCTTGGACATCATTTAAACTCTTCTGTCTAGGAACTCCGCTCTGGAGGCCTGCCGGAATACCACCTGCGGCCAAATTAGGATCCCAATTTGTGTGAGTCCGATAATACCCTTTCTGGCTGTCCCGATGCATTCCAGCCCCCATCTGATGTTGCACAGTGGAAACTGCCCTGCCCCGGCTGTGGGTGCCCTCTGACCACACCGAGTTCCCTGCCGGGTCTCAGAAGGAGAGACCATTCCCACCCCTGAGTCGTTACTTAGTAGGCGTCAGACTAAAGAATCAGTCCCAGTCTCGCCCTCCCTGGCCCCTATCGTGGTGCCAAGATGGCAGTGGTGGCAGCGGGCAGTGATGGCGGCAGCTGCCCCAGCTATGGTTTCATGCAGGGCAGCCTCCTGGGCCAGCCGCAGGCCTCTGGCCGGGATGCGGGGAAAGCTGCCGTCACTGTACTTCGTAACCACCGCGTCAGGGGCCCCAGCAGCGTGAGCTCAAGAGTGGTCGAGCCCATAGCACCTTCCCTGGGGGTGGGGAGCTGGCACGGGGGAAGGGGTTCCCGAGATCCGACCTGGTTAATCCCTCCCCGATCTTGTCACGGGAACTTTCAGCCTCTTTATTATGCAATTGAATGAGAAATGGTACGTGGGGGATCTCGCCCCATTTACCTGACCTTTGACAAAATAACTCCAGTTGTAAGATAGCACGATAATCGAAGGCTCCCTTCAACGGCCGCTTCTCCCCACACTCCAGCACATACGCTGGATTACAATAACGCATTCTCTTTAAGACATAGATTTACACCTCCAAGTTGGCCTTTCAGCCAAGATTCTCCCCAAGGGCTTTCAGCTGGAATAGAAATGGAGCCTCCCATTTGACACAGGACAACATGTGACAAGTAGACAATGCAAAGAATTCCCAACGTGAACAATCTCAAATGGCAAGGCCTTGACAAACAGACGGAAACCACACAGTGAGGACCAAATTCTCAAACGAGAACCAACATCTCCTGATCCAAAGAGCATGAACTCCAAGGTTCCTGAGTTCCACTCAACCATGGCTTCCACCCGCAAACGGCGCCTACAGACAAATGCCCCGCCATAGGACGGGAAGGTACAAAACCCTTCCCCAAATGGGTGGAATTGAGGTTCTCAGTGTGCACACTGGGGAAGTCGTCAACTCAAATGGCCGAGGCATTGTGACACCTCCCAAATCTGTTTCCTTTTCCTCAAAAAAAAGTTCAGGTTGGTGGGGGGTGGGGAGCAACGGGAGTTCCCCAGAGCTAAACAGGCCCTGGCAGCTGCTGGGGTGGCCCTGTACTCTCTCACCCCAACAAGACGCTCCTCCCACTGGTGAAGACCCAGTGCTGCTCCCCACTTCTTCCAGCCACAGCGGCAGTCGTGGGGTGCTGTTCCATTGGGGTGCCAATGGGCCCACCCGAGGATGCCAAGTTCTGTTACCAAAAGTTTGGTACTTGTCCCCATAGCAAAATGAAGAATGTGGACAAGTGGTTTGAGGAGAAGGAAAGAGAAGTTTATTAATTTGTCAGCAAAAGAGGAATATAGCAGACTCTCATCTTAAAAAAAAAATATTCTGTCTATAAGCAGAAATAGAGAGCTTTCAAAGGGAGTTTTCAGCTTTGGCCTACTGCTGTTTGACTATAGCATCTCCAGCGAAAACAGTCCCATGACCTCTGCCTGTACAATTCTGTGAGGGCATCTCTGTGGTACAAAAAACAAAGGACACTCCCCTGCCCCTCTGAGTACTGGCTTCAGGCAGGACTGCAGGTCTTAATTCCCAGAAAGAGTTGGGAGGTGTTAAAGAAACAGCTCACAAAACATTTTACCCTTTTCCAGGCCATTCCTTCTGTTACAAATGGATAAACAGAACGTGACATCGACATACAACGGAACGCTGTTCCACGTTTAACAGGAAGAAAATTCTAACACATGCCACGGCATGCGTTAATCGTAAGGACATCATGCTAAGTGGAATAGGCTCGGTATGAAAGGAAAAGTACTTATGATTCCGCTTATATGAGGTACCCAGAGTAGTCCGATTCCTAGAGACAGAAAACACACTGGCGAGTGCCAGGGAAGGGGACAGGGGCAATGAAAAGCTGTTGCTCTGTGGGTGGAGTTTCAGTTTTGCAGGATGAAAAGACTTCTGGAGATGCACGGCGGAGGATGTGACGGTTAAAACGGCAAATATGAACTGGTGTATATTTTACCACATTTTTGAAAAGTAAAAAATAAAAAAAAATTTAAATCATATGCTCATGAATTAATATTAGTTTTTAACATTCTTAGGATGTTAAATTGTCTCCTAGGTGTATTTTGTCACAATTAAAAATTGAAAAGATAAAAAAAAAATTTTTCATGAAAGGCTGTTTTTGCCATTATTCAAGAGTGCCATCTAGTGATAAGTTCATAGGCATTGCCTCAAATTTTACAAAAAAGGACACAAAAAATAAGATATTTTTAAAATGAGTATGTTTGTATGTGTGAACTAAAATAAAATTTTAATCCTCCAGCTGACTAAATGGACCCCCTCTTGGCCAAGGGGACCCCAGAAATACCCTAAAGCTGAGCTGCTGGCCGTGAGAAGGAAGGTCAGACACGGCTCATCATGCCCCCTCCCTTCTTGTAGCCGTCCTTTGTAACTCACTGACAGGCCCAAGGCCACGCAAGACAAAGCTTAAACCACACCTGCAGACCATCAATTTACACAACAGATCACTTGAGTTTCGGTAAATGTCAGGAGGCTTGTCTCTGGTTAACAGAATTCCTCATCTTAAGTTAAAACATTCTAAGCTTTTAGACAAAGCTTCATTTCTTTAACCAATTGCAAATCGAAGAATCTATAAACACACCTGTAACCTATAAGCTCGCCTCCTGCTTAGAGATGTCCTGCCTTTTCAGTCCAAACCAGAACACGCCCTCCATGTACTGACTCAGGGTCTTACATGCATTAATAACTCCCGTCTCCATGAATGTATAAAAGCAAACTGTAACCCAGCTGTAACCCTGGGCACATTTTCTCAGAACCTATTGAAAACGTGTGCTCTGGGCTGTTGGTCACACACACTCAGCTCAGAATAAACCTCTTTGAATTATTTTAAAGAGTTTGGGTCTTTTTCTGTCAACATGTGTTTGGATTTTTTGTTGTTGTTAAATAGTATTTTTCCCCAAATTACACTATTTGTGCACATGGACAGGGCAGGCTGAGGGAATTCGGATATATCGATGTGCTGCTCTGGTGGGAGTCCCCTATCCCAGGCACGGACACAGCTTGGTGAGAATTCAGGCTGGATTTCACTCAGTTCAGAGTAAAAGGTGCACAGCCATGCCCAGCACCTGGCTGTGGGCGGGGTCCTGGGAGTGTCCGCACTTCACAGAGGGGACACAGGGCTCAGGGAGGGAAGGGCCCCAGGTGTCTGGTCCTGAGCCCGGGCTCCACCTCCTGCTCCCCATCCTGTCCCTGAGCACCCAGGAGAGGGGTCCTGCCCACCTCCCAGAGGGATTCCGGCACTGCTGTGTTTCTCACCCCTGGGCTTGGACATTCGGGGCTGGGCAGGGTCCTAAAGAGGTAGTGATGAGGCAGGAATAGTGGCCCGAGACTCCGATGTATTTGTCCTTGGAGTAGTCTCCAAACTAAACTTCGACCCCAACCTCTCCCCACCCCACACACAAACAAAGCGGAGATGTATCAGAGTTTTGGAGAACTCACAGAAAATGGAATTCATAGTTATTTGAATCACAAAGTTTCACACATGGCAGGTAGATCTACAGAGGACTGTCATTGAAAAGAAAGTGTATTATTCACAAGACAAGGGACACACCAGGCCACACGCGGCCACCTAGGAAGTACCTGGTCAGCCAGGAAGCAAAGGGACGTGGGGAGAAATGTGGGGAAGAGCATTTATTTTGCTCTTCTTGGGAAGAAGTAAGCAAGGCCACACAAGCATGCATAGGATTGGTTAGTTTAAATAATTTCATTAGCTCGGGGATGAAGGCAATTAAAAATATTTTACCCCACAATATGGATTTTGACATGCTGGATTGATTGAAGAAGCCTCAGGGATCTCTGACCTCCTTCCCCGTCTTCTCTGCCAAGGTAGTTGACTTCTCTTCATCTGCCTGAGGTCCAGACCCACCTGGTACGCAATTGTTCTTTTCTTCCCCTGTCTGTAAGATCAGGAGTGTGACCACACCTGAACAGACAACTTTTTTCAGCAAATTTTTATGGGGACACGGACTTTTGCTTCCTAGAGTTTGCCTAACTTTCAGGGACCAGGGGCCTTTGATACCTCCAGGGACATACAGGCCGTCCCTAGTTGAAGGATATTTTACCCTGAGGGAGGAGGGCTGGTGGAT